TTGAAAAATATGGTTAGTTTTCATAAAAGTGTTAATTATATAAACATGTATTTCATTCATTATTTTTAAGTGGATTGATAAGGTTTTTTTTTTTAATTTCTCAGTTTTAAATTCCAATGTAATAAATGTTGATGGTTATAACCCACATAAGTGAAAGCTTTATAGAGTCCTCAGTAATTTTTAAGAGTATAATGTTTTCCTGAGACTAAATAAATAAATAAAGTTGAAAACTGCTTGCTGCCTTGGAGACTGTGGTGTGTGTGGATATGTATCCCAGTCCCCCTTGAAGGAGCATGGCTCCTCAGACCATGTAAAGACCTCACAGTAGTGTCATCTCATCCATTCCCCTGTGACCTTGCTGCTAGTGCTGCTGCATTTTACAAATCCTGTGATACTCTCTAGTTTGTTTTGGGAGTTGATCTTGTTAAAAGATGTGTTTCTGATTTGTTCATGTGTTACCCTGTTGGTATCCATCAGTCCTCCCTGTGTTCTGGGCTTCCATCTGTGGATCATTTCCCTTCAGGCTGCACACCTCATTTAGTGTTTATTGTAGTGTGGACCTGGTAGCAACAAGTTCTCTCAGATTTTTTTTTTTTCTTAACTAATAATGTCTTTATTTCACCTTATTTTAAAGGATACTTTTGCTGGGTATAAAATTATGGATTTTCTCTCACCTTTAGAGGGTGTTGCACCATTGTCTTCTGGTAAGAAGTCAGTCATCATTAATGTTTCCTGAATGTAATGTATGTATTTTTTGGGGGGGCTGCGTTTTAAGATTTCTCTTCTTATCTGGCAGTTTCATCAATTTAACAAAATGTGTATTGGGGAGCTTTTCTGTATTTTTATCCTGCTTGAGGTTCAGTGAACTTCTTGAATTTGAAAGTTGAATACTTGATACTTTTGGGGAAATTATTGTCTATTACCTTCTGTTTCTTTCTTTCTTTCTTTAATGTGTCTACCCTCTAGGTGGACTAGGCATGCCTTCCCTTCCCCACCCACATCTGATAACCATCAAAGAATGTTTCTTTTCTTTCTTTCTTTCTTTTTTTTTTTAATGAAACGTTTTTCTTGACTTTTTACAATAGTGGTCTCAGACAGTATTTGTCCTTTTGTGATTGACTGATTTCACTCAATGTAATGGCCTCTAAATTCGCCCAGTCATAAGATACTTCACAGATTCATCATTGCCCTTTAATATCACATAGTACTCCATTGTGGGTATGCACCATAGTTTATTGATCCATTCCTCATTGATGAGTACTTAGGTTGTTTCCATCTTTTTGCTGTTGTGAATAGTGCTGCAGTAAGCATGGGTGAGTATATATCCTTATTTCTCTAGGATATAAACCTAGTAGGGGGATTGCTGAATCATATGTATTTCTATTTCCAGCTTTTTAAGGACACACTATACCATTTTGTACAGTGGTTGCACCATTTTACTGTTCTACCAGCAGTGTATGAGGGTTCCAGTCTCTCCACACCCTCACCAGCATTTGTTGTTTTCTGTTTTTTTGAACTTTCCTATTAGTGCTGGGGTGAGATGATATCTCATTGTTGTTTTGATTTGCACCTCTGTAATGTCTAATGATTGTGCTTCTTCATGTGTTTGTTAGCCACCTGAATGTCTTCTTTGGCAAAGTGTCCATTCATTTCCTCTGCCCATTTTTAATTGGATTATTTGTCTTTTTGCTGTTAAGTTGTTGAAGTTTATTATTTCTTAAAATGTGTCCTCTGCTCTGCTGTTTCCTAAGACCCTGTTGAGAGGTATTTTGTACTGTTATTGTCTATAGGCTTGTGGTGTGCTCTTACGTCTGTAAGCTTGCTTTTTCATTCTTTTTCTCTCTGTGTTTCAGTTTAGGTAATGTCTGTTGACCTGCTTTGGAGTTCACTAATCCTTTCTTCTGTGTGTCCAGTTGGCTATTACAGCCACCCAACAAAGCATTTTTTGCTTCAGATATGGTATTTTCAGTTGTAGAGTTTGCATCTAGTTCCATTTCTTTGCTGAAGTCTTCTCTGTTTTCACGTGTTTTTGTCCATTTTTTCCTCTAATTAAAATATGTATTTGTAATATTAGTTACCAGTTGTCATCGAGTCAGTTCTGACCAGTGATGATGCCATGTGTGTCAGAATAGAACGGTACTTTATAGAGTTTTCAATGGCTGATTTTCAGGCGCTCTCCAGGTTTGCCCCTGGGCGGACTGAAACCTCCAATCTTTCTGTGAACAGCTGGGTGCATAACCAGAGAGTCTGCATCTGTTTGTTTTTATTATTTGTGCCACCCAGAGAGTCTATATTTATAATAACTATATTTCAGTCTTTTAAAGCAAATTCTAAAATGTGAGCTATCAGTGACCTGCTTCTGTTGGCTGTTTTTTCTCTTGAGAGTAAGCATACTTCCCTACTTTTATGAAACAGAAAAACCAAACTCACTGCCATTAAATCAATTCCAACTCATAGCAACCCCTGTTGGGTTTCTGAGGTGGTAAATCTTTACAGAAGTAGATTGTCCCATCTTCTTTCTGCAGAGCGGCTGGTGGGTTTGAACCACCAACCTTCTAATTAGCAGTCTAATGCCTTAGGCACTGCGCCACCAGAGCTCCTCACTTCTTTTTCCCACAAAGGGCGAGCCCTTTCATCTGCCAGATATGTAGAGATAGGGTTCACTAGTTTGATCTAAACAGGAGTTTAGCTGGATCAGTGCGGGGTGGGGGGCTGCTTTAGTAAATTTCTGCTTCAAGTATGAGGATGTGAGCTCCCCAGTTACAGAAACTTCTTTTTTGTTTGTTTGTGTTTGTCTTTCTGTTGTGTTTTGAGTTCCTGTCACTCATGTGGTTATTGTTGGATGCTGTTGGGTCAATCCTGACTCATGGCCCCACATGACAGAGTGGAACTGCCCCTTAGGGGTTTCTTGGCTGTAATCTTTAGGGGAACAAGTCACCCACTCTTTCCCTTACAGAGCTGCTGGGTGGGGTTAAACAGCCCACCTTTCAGTCAGCAGCCAAGCCCTTTGCTGAGCCACCGGAACACCTTATGTCACTAATAGAAGCTCAGTAAATAGTTGTTGGTGAGTAGATGAGTGAGTGAGTGAAGCCAACTCAGGATCTCAGCTTCAAGAGGCTGTGTCCAGGAGTGGGGCTGCCTGCCCTGAGTGGGGCTGGCAGCCTACAGGCCCTTCCACTCTAGACAGTCCGTCTGGCCTGGGATGTGATTCCTCCTTGGGCTGTATGCCCTGTCCTGTCCTCTCTCAGGCACGCTTGTTAGTCGCCTGTTGGACTTCCTGGGTTGGGCATCTACAGCTCTTATTGTTTCATCTTTTCTTTCTTTCCTTTTTGTTCTGCATTGCTTTTCTTTTTTCTTTTTCCTTCCTTCTTACTCCAGCAGTTTTCTTTTCCCCAAAATATATAAGAGCACTTTTTTTTTCTTATCTTTTTTTGTACATTTCTGTTCTTGTTTTGCAGGTGTAACAATTTACCAAATCTTAGTAAACTGATTCAATAAGCAGTAAAAGGATTTTCTTCGTATATCTGTTTCTACAGGAAAGTAGGAATAGAAGTGAAATTCCTCAACATAATACAGGGTATAGACACATAACCAACAGTCAACATTATTCTCAATGGAGAGAGACTGAAAGTATTTCCCTTATGAATGGGGACAAGACAAGGATGCCTTTTATCACCACTCTTATTCAGTATCGTATTGGAAGACTTGGCCAGAGCAGTAATGCAAGAATGTGCTGCCTCAGATCCCCTTGAACTTTCTCTTTCAGGCCGATGGTCTCTTCCTGTGTCTCATAACATGTGATATCTGTACATTTAAGACAGGAGGCCTGGCTGAGTGCTGTGGTTCTTCTCTGATCAGTTGGAATGTTTTCTCCCATAGGTGTCTGCCCTGAGTGGGACCTCAGCCTGGGAACTCAATAGTATGCATAGGTATGGTGTGGGGGCTCACAGCCAGGGACTGAGGCATTGTTCTACCACTTGGCACAGAGTCAACCCTGGAGCCCCCGTACACGAGCTGGGCTCCGCAGGGTTTTCAGCGGCTGACCTATGGAAGTATAACACCAGGCTCTTCTGCCAAGGCCATTTCCAGGTGGACTTGAACCTTTGACCTTTCGGTTAAGCTTGTCCAAATGAGAGAGAGTTCGTCCTGGGCAGCCTCCTGCCCCTACTTTGCTGGAACAGGTCTGTCTCTTACAGCCACCCCATTCTGTGCCTGATGTCTCTTGACCTTGGCGTGGAGGGAGAGATTGCACCCTCCACCATGGCCCTAACCGTGTATGCAGCCCACCCCTGGCCACCCTCCCTGAGAGCCACATCCCAGAGGAATCTTTCTCAGCCCCTCACACTGTCCCCAGAGCTCTGCTGCTCAGACTCCTCCCTCGCCTATGTAGCCAGGGCCTCTCGGGAGCCCCTCATCCTCCCTCTGCCTCCCTCCCTAATTCATTGTCTCACGGGTCTTTGGAACCCAAGACCCTCCTGGAGGTTTGCCTGGTGACAGCCTCAGGGTACCTCCTGTCCACAGGCACATCTTGTTCTTAGCTCTGGTTTCAGAGCCTGACCCAGCCTCCAGGTGATGGGTCTGGCTCTCGCCCAGCCCAGTATCAGCCCCTTCTCAGCTTCGCCTCCCTGCCCCCGCACCTCAATCCACTGATTGGTGCTGACAAAGGAGTTCCTACTCCTTACTGAGTCCCACACAGGTTGGGTGCAGAAGCGCAGGGCCTTGTGGAGGGTGCAGGGGTGAATGTCTTCAGCTTTTCAGAGGGCTCCAGACCTGAAAGTTCCAAGGCTGAAAGCTGCCTTTGGGCTCCTAGCATGGCAGGCCCCCCTTGGGGCCCCTGGTCATGTTGAGGGTTAGAGGTTTGTCTCCCACCCCCAGCTCCGCCTTTTCACACATGCAGGCTCCAGCCCTTTAGCCCCGGGGGCGGAGGCGAGGAGGGAGAAGTGTGGGATGCCTAGGTAGAGAGCACTGGCCAGGGATATGCCCTCTTTTCATCCTCACAGCTGCAAGGGCGCGTGCGGAGGAGACTCACTGCAGTCTCCCGGCAAAAGGGACTGGGAGGGGGCCTCCAGGGCCCACGCCCTGGTACCTGCCCCCCTGGCCCATAGCTGCAGCTCAAAGCTAGCTCAGCTCCACCTTGGAAGGGCACTCGGGACCGAAATAGCGCGGGGCTTATGTAAGGCGCGCCAGAAGGGGGCGACGGGAAGCGGTGCGGTGAGAGGCCGTCCCTTGGGTCCAGACCAAGTGATTTAGCGCGACGCAGGCCGGCCCTGCGAGCGCCCCACCCTCATGTTTGGGTGCTGGGGGTGGGGAAGCGCAGACGCGCGGCTGCTGAGCGTGTGAAATATTTCAGGACTTAATTAATTTAATTTGAGAGGTTCCTTTCCGGAGCGTGAACAGTTGTCTCCCAAGAGACGCACGCCCTCCCTTCCCCTCCAGCCTGCCTGGTGCGGGTGGGCGGAGGGAGAAGGCGAAGTCTGTGACGGCGAGAGGCGCTCTGTGGAGCCGCAGCGCTGCGCGGAGCGCCCTCCCCTCTCGAGCCTCGCCTTCTGTGGTGTCCCGGAGCCCAGGGGAGCCCCACCCATCGGGGCTTCCTCCTTCTGCCACCCCCTGGAGGAGGATGTGGGGGTGTCACGTGGGTGTTCTCGGATGGAGGCAGGGAAGTGGAGTCTGGGCGCCCCCACAGCGGAGGAGGAATTTGGGAAATCAAAGCCCTGGGCCTACGGGTCTGTGGGGAGCGGCCTAGAGACTTGGGGGGGCACCCCACTCAGCCAGCTGGGGCGGGAGAAGGTGGTGAGGCTGGGACCGGAAGAGGGGGGGTTAGAGAAGGGCAGGGCCAGCCCCTAATGAGGGGAACGAGCTGCGGAGCTTTGATGTCTGCAGGCGACTTCAAAGAGGCTGCCCGACCCTCCCTTCCCACCCCTCACCCCATCATTTAAAATTCCACTGCGCTGTGGGCTGGGGGTCCGGGAGCAGGCTCTGGGCCAATTTGGCCTCGGAGGCTGCGGGTGTCTTTGAAGTGGGCTGGCTGGGCTGGGTCTGGGTGCACTTCTGGGCCAGAACCCAGGAGCCTAGAGTCGGGGTGGTGCTCCCAGAGCCCAGAAACCGAATCCAGGGTGGCATCCACCCCGCCAGAGGCCATGTCCCCGTCCTCACTTGAGAGGAAAGGACATCTGGGCCAGGCCTCAGGTGATGAGAAGCAGGCCCCCGGAGAGCCCACCTGCTTCCAGGCCCAGGGCTCTTTGCGTCTAGGTGCCTGGGCTGGTCTTTGGCTGCAGAGGGGCATTCCTGAGGCCCTGGGGCAACAGGGTAGCGCCTGCAAGCAGCGGGGTGGGGCATCCTTTGTTTCCCACTGTTGATACCAAGGACGTCCTGGCCACAGCACCCCGGCCTAAGGCCTAACGAGGGCCTCTCTACCGCAAGGAGCGGCAGTCAGGGGAACCGAGGTCAAGGGCAGCAGCGGCCAGCATGGGTGCAGTCGGTGGCCTTGGTGTGTGGCTCTCAGCCCACAGCGCGTCTGGCCCTTGAGCAGCAGGGCCGTTTTCCACACCAGGGCTGTAGGCCCCAGCCCGCTTCCACCTGGGTCCCGTGCAGCCCTGGGCCTGCGCAAGCACCCACGCGTGTGCAGTGAGTCCCCAGGACTCTTTGGGGTCCAGCTCTCCCCAGAGGGTGGGAGCAGCTCTGGCCCCTCCCCACGAGAGGCTAGAATGAGGTGAGTCCCCTGCAGGGGGCCGAACCTGAGCCCAGGGCCTGACTCTGAGTTGGGAGGCGTGGGAGCTTTGTTCCCGAAGCCCTGCGTGAGCGGGGCGGGCGGTTCCCGTCTGGTGGCAGGCACCTGGCGGCGACTCCCGAGGTCTGTTGGTGCGCGTGAGGGGCGGAGCGGAGGGACTCGCGGTGCGTGCGCGCCACTCAGGCGGGAACAAGCCCCAGACGTGAGTCAGGATATCCCTGGGGCTCAGCCACACGGTCTGAGGAAGGAGAGGGTGTGTGGCTCAGGAAGCCGCTGGGAGCGCTGAAGACTGTCCGAAGGCATCCTGGCGCTGGGCATCTGGGGCCCGCTTCGCCACCCACCAGCTGTGAAGCCCGGGCAGGCCAGCACAGACCAGGTTCCCGGCGAGATGGGGAAGGGCAGGTCTTTCCTGATGGGACCCCACTGCGCGCCTGGAGCGCCCTTTGCAAACGCGGCTGCGCCGTCCCTGTCCGTGGTGCTGAAGGAGCCTCCTGGGCGGCCCTGGCTCGTCTGAAAATCACCCGACCTCGGGCTGCCCCGGGATACTACTTATTCTTTTTCTCGGCTTTGTTCCGCCTCTTTTCCCAGCACAAGCCGACTCCCAAGGCCTTTCGGGAGGGGAGTGGGGTGGAGCTGTGCCCCACTCCTGCCCACGGGGGAACTCACTAGCTGGCCCCATAACCCTGAGTGACCAAGCCTTGCGACGCCTCAGTTTCCCCTTCTGAGGAAGGGAGTGGGCATCCTGAGGATATGAGCTAAAGTGGGAGGTGATGAACTCCACGGCACCCAACAACAAGGACCTGGGGTCGGAGCAGGGGGCACCCAGGGGGACCAGGTTCAGCACCGAGGCCAGCGCCGCAGGTCCTTACTGCAGCGTGAGCTGGTTTCTTCCCGCTGAGCGGAGGCCGCCGCGCCCTCCCCAGCCAGTGAGATGTGTCTCAGAGACGCCCGGGTGCTCCCCCAGACTGCGCTCCTCAGCCACCCACGACAGTCTCGGTGACTCAGTCCTCCGTGCCCCATCATTGGCCCTTGAGGGCAGGTGAGTGCTGACTTCACTCAGCCTCTCATGTCTGGGCCTTCACCTCTTCTCGGGGAGAAGGCAAAAGTAGGGGATGGCGGGTCCCCAAAGGGACTCCTGGGTGGTCACCGCAAGCGTGGGGGCGGGGTCCCAAGAGACTAACCGTCGAGTCCACCCCAACCCTGGCAACCTCATGTGTACCAGCCTGGAAGTGGCCCACACCTCTCTCTGCCACTGGCCTCAACCAGGCAAGCCCAACAACCAGGGGCCGAGTGGGGCACTCAGATGAGATGGCACAGAGCTTTGAGGGAGCCTAGGCCTCGCGGGAGGAGTGTGGGTGTTCTGGGCAGCCCCTTACTGCGCCGAGGACTGGCTGGCGGGTGGATTGGCCCACAGCTGCACTGGGGCCCCGGTGCCGAGCCACCTGCTTGTGGCCAGGACTCCAGAGGCTGGGGCTGGGGACAGCTGCATACTAGGCTGCCTGGGAGGAGTATCAGCACTGGGCCTGCTCCCCTGCCACTCCCACAGGGTCCCCTGACCTACGATGGGCCTGAGCACCCCAAAGGGCAGAGTTACCTGCAGAGGACACAGTCCTGGACCAGCTGCATGAGATGGCATCTAGCAGCATCCTGTCGTGTCTGCATAGGGCAGGGGCAGGGGCCCCAGACCCCTACCCAGCCCCACAAACCCTGCCCCACAATCCCCGACCCCACCCCCCACAAGACCCCACCCATCCCCAGAAGCCCCTACCTGCCCTTTTCTGTCCCTACACCTCCACTGACCCTCACCTGTCCCCACTGCAGGCCCTTGGCCACACAAGCCACCACCCATCCTGGGGACGCCCTGCAGAACTGAGAAGGGGCTCTGTGCCTGACCCAGGCCCTGACACCCGCTCTCTCTGCTGTCCACTCAGAGCCCCCTGGGCCTTTCAGTTAGGGGCTTGTGAGTCAAAGGCTGGGCCCCACCTGCCCCCAGCCCCTGGCAGAACCTTGCTTAGCTCTCCAGCTGCCTCAAGGCCCCAGGACCCTTCAAACTGCAGGGAAGACCACCCTGCCCCAGCCCTTCAGCCCAGGCAGGGAAGACAGTCTACCCTCTGGAGGTCTGGGTAAGGGATGCACTCTCAGATCTCCAGAGCCCGACTGGGTGGATTGCTGTCGGCTGGGCTCAGGAGCTGTGTCTGCTGAGAAGAGGGGAAAAGCTGGTGGGAGGGAGGTGGGTGTCCATGTTCTTGCACACACACGCTCCTGGGACAGGGACTGATGCCCTTGGGTGGGGCAGCACTGCGGGACCAGGTGCCCAGCCTCATGCCTTCCCCAGCCCTGGGGCATCCCCCAGCCTCCATCACCCACAGCCCTTCCCCACTATGCCACCACTGTGGGCCTGCAGCCTGGCTCCGGTCTCTTTCAGCTCCCACGCCTGAAGCTGGCAGTGCCCGAGTCCCCCTCCTCCCCACCCCCCGGCAGAGGCCCCCGTGCAATTATCCATGACAGCATATACTTTCCCCACCCTGATCGGGCCTGTGTTTGCTGTAAAGACAATAATTAGAAATAAAAGTCACAATTGGAAAAGAAGCCTCCAGCAAGTCGGGGGTCTGGTGATTAGGGGTAATTGGAACCTTCCCTAGCAGAAGCCATGCCCCTCCTGGGCCCCCAGGCTGCCGTCCAAGCTCTCAGGCAGGCATGGCAGATGCTCAGAACCCAACTGTTGGGCTCCAGAGGACTCCGGGATGCCTCACAGAGGAGGGGAACCTCCATGCTGGGCCTGGAAGGCTGTGTTGGAGTCTGTGGGACAGAGTAATGAGGAAAGGGCTTTCTGGGAGGCAGACCCTGGACCAGCCACAACTCCCGTGCACCCGCACTTAAGCCACTGTGAGAAGCCGTCACGGGCTGTGGCCAGGAGGCACCTTGTGGCCACTGCCCCTACACCCATCTCTCTACCCTTTGAGAAGCTGACTGCCCTGAAAGCCCCAAGGTTATGGCCTGGATCCTGACACAGCCTCCCTGCCCCCAAAGAGCTTCATCCAGGGAAGACATGGGCTTTGTCCAGTGCAGCCCACTCCATGGAGGCCCCGTTAGTAAATCACTGAGCGCCCAGCCCCTCGCAGGGGAGCCCCTGGTGCACGGTCAGTCAGCAGCAGCATCACTGTTATCTGGGCGGTGACATCTAGTGCCACGCTTCCGGAACGCCAGAAGGACTGGCTGCTGCGCTCACCCCCCGTGGTGTTGGAGGCCTGCCTCACTCCTTCCTTCGGGAAGCAGGACCCCACTAACCACAGGTGTCTTGAAGGCCCCTGCTCTGTCTCTGTTTTCCTTTTATGATACGGATCTGCAGCGACTGCAGTGCAGGAGGTCACTGAAGGCGTTTGATGGAATCTTCTCTGCACCACCCTGTGTGGTGTGTGTATGTGTGCGTGTGCATCTGTGTGTGGTGTGTGTGTGCACATGTGTGTACATGGGTGTGACACGTGTGTCTCTGTGTGTCTGCATTTGTGTGTGCACCTGTGTGTGTACCTGTGTGTGTGCATGTGTCTGTGTCTGTAAGTGTGTGGTGTGTGGTGTGTGTGCAAATCTGAGTGTGTTTGTACATCTGCATGTGTGTGCTATATGTGTGTAGGCAGTGTGTGTATGTGTGCGTGTGTGCATGTGTGTGTTGTGTGTGTCAGCATGTGGGGGGGCTGGGTTCTGCATGTATGGGGTGTAATTAATTATGTGTGCTGTGTGGAGGGTTGTATATGTGGATGTGGATGTGGGGTGTCTGAGTACATGCACACATGTGGGTGTGTGTGTGTGCCAGGTGTGTGTGTGTGTGTATACTGAGTATGTGTGAGCTGTGTGTGTGTGTGGTTGTATATGTGGCAGTAGGGGTGTACATGTGCACATGTGTGTGTTGGGTTATGTATGAATATGTATGTGCACAGATATGTGCATGACTGTGTGTGCTCATGTGTGGGAGAAGGTAAATATGTGCTAGGTGTGTACACATGTGTATGTTGTAGATGCATATAAGTCTTTACTATGTGTGTGTGCACATTATGTTGTAGGGGTGTGTGTGTTTGTGCTAGATGAGTACACATGTATATAATGTATGCATGTCTGAGCTAGGTAGGTGCGTGCACACATGTATGTGTTATAGGTGTGTGTGCAGGTAGGGCCTGGGTGTACATTGTATGTGCTTGTGTGTGTGTGCATGCACCTGTAAGTGTGGTTGGTGTGTGTGTGTGTTTGTGGTGTATGTGTGTGCAGGTGTGGGATCTGTGTGTACATGTGTGTGTGTGTGTTGTCCTAGAATGATTGTGTACTCTGTAGCCAGCATTCCCATCATGGCCCAGTGGGGACGTGCCTTCTTGGGCCTGCATTAGGTGGTCCAATCATTGTACTGGCTGAGTGGACCCTTTGCTGTAATTACTTGTCACATATCCTGTTTAGGGACACGCGGGTGGTTCCCCATGTGCTGAAATGAACAGCCATGCAGTGTGGAAGCACAGGTCCTGGGAGCCTGTCCCCCGGGTGCCAGCCCCAGGTCCCCGAGGCTGCTGCCCCAGTGCCCAGTCTCCTGGTGGCGGCTGCGTCTGGGGAGGGTGCACTGCTTGCCCTTGGAGAGTCTTGTGCTGGGCGGTGGGCCCGTGGGTCCCGGATGCTCTTCCTCTGTGACCCTGTAACTTGCTCTGGTAACTGTCTTTCCAGCAGCGTGGAAGCTTAGCAGCTTGTACGCCTTCAGGACAGGGGCCTTCTTGCAACTGTTCCCCGCTCTCTCGCTTGCCATTCAACTTAGATTTCAGGGCTCTGCTGGGCGGAGCTTTTGCTTCTAAATCGGTCTTGCCCTTCCCCATCCCTGGACCCAGAGCCCTCCTGCTGGGCAGGCTCCTGGGGGACGGCAGCAGCTGAGCAGCAGAGGGCCAGGAAGACGGGGGGCACCTCAGCCCTGCACAGGGCACCCTCAAGGGGGCGTCAGGAGCAGGGTGGATGCCAGCCCCCCTCGCGGAATTGGGAGAGTCGCTAGTTCCCAGCCCTTCCTGCATTATTGATGACAGCCTTCCCTCTGTATCCCCCTCTGCCCTAGATCACAGGGCCCTGTGTGGGATCAAAGGCAGCCAGCCAGGGGCCGCCCTGCCCGAGGAGCAGTGGCCTGGTGCTGCACACCCTGCTGAGGCCTGCCCATCTGTCTTTGCTGTCAGCCCGGGGAGCTGCCTGGCTTGGGGATGCCCTAGTCCTACCTCTCCTGCCCTCAGGGAAGTACAGCTTCAACTCCAGGATCGCAGGCCGGGACAGCCTCCTGTGTCACAGCCTTGTGCCCATCCCCTGAGCCCCAGGCAGAGCCACTCTGCCTGCCCACCAGTAGAGCTTGGGCCCCAAGCTAGTACCACCCCACGGGGCTTCTTGGCTGGTGCCCATCCTCTCCTGGGGCCCGTGGGCACCACCAAGACCCTTCTGTGCACACCACCAGCAGCCACAGTGGTGTGAGCCCACGGTCCAGGGGAAATCAAGTTCGAACACTTGGTCTTCATGGTGCCAGCTTTGAGGTGGTAGTCAGGGTGGGAATCCAGTAGACTGGCCTCTGCAGGCAGACAGGGCTCTGGGTCTGAGCAGGTGGTGGGTCTGGAAAGCCAGCCTATTAGGGTGAGGGGCTTGGAGGTGCAGGCGGGCCAGGTGAGTGGGGGCAGCAGTGCACAGGGCAGCTGGGGTGATGCTGTGTGTCCCCAGGAGGCCACGGTTGCTCTGTACCCTGACTCACAGCACCCCATGGGAAAGAGTGGAAACGAAAATCCATGAGATTTTCTAGGTTGTAATCTTTACAGGAAGGAGCCCTGGTGGCACAGCCATTAAGTGCTCAGTTGCTGATTGAAAGGTGGGCAGTTTGAGCCCACCAGCCACTCTGCAGGAGAAACATGCAGCAGTCTGCTTCCGTGAAGACGGACAGCCTTGGAGACCCTGTGGGCAGTTCCACTCTGTCCTCTAGGGGCGCTGTGGGTCAGAATGGACTCCAGGGCAG